TATGGTGGTTTCGGGACGTTAAACCCCACACGTCAATCAATCAATCAATCAATCAAATCATCAAAGAAATGCTTGGCACGCATGAAAGACATGACATACCTATCTTGACATGTACTGTGTTTATTAGAAGTATACGATCACTTCGCAATGTTTGCTGACTGTCTTGTAATGGCTAGCGTTGGCTATCGCCATTAATATACCACCACGTAATGAATGATGTTTTAGTAATGCTGCGCTTCTACTTCATTCACGGAATTCGGCGTGTACTGCAAGAGAACACCTTGAAGAAGTTCGACGTCAATTTGTTTTTAGGGGCCTTTTTTTTCTAAAATTTGCTGCTGTGACTAATGATGGCCACTAAAAAAATATAATGTGCGTAACGCATACACAAAATATGACACAATAATCCAAGAATAAAAATACTTTTATTTTGGCTACATTGGGTGAACTAATTTAGTTGCAGACATTTAGCTCTACGTATCAGTTCACGAAATGCGTTTTATAGAAACCGGTGCAGCACCGTAAGCGCTATTCACAGTCGCTTTTGCCCGTATTAACAATATTTTTACGTCACTTTTGTCGTAGTTGGCATAGCATTATTTCAAGAACCTAAGAGCGGCTAAACTTCTTATTCATTGATTACAGTAAGACTTGCAACACCAGCCATGGATGTTAATACGGCAATTTTGTGCTCAGTTGTACATTGGGAAACACGTCCTTGATTTCTCAAATTTTGAGTGTACACATGCAAGAGAGAATTGTAAATATAAAGGCTTGTTTTTCTTTGTTAGGCACAATATTATTCAGAACTAACAGACAGTGGTGTCAACGAAAGTATAGGAGACGTCAACGGACAGAGGGCTCCACCACGGCTGCCTGGATTGGCGCGTGGCGTAATTTCGACCATTATATTTTTTTCAGTGGAGCGCACTTCGAATGAGACAGTCGGAGCAACACTAGGCAACGCCGCTGCGTCCACCGATCCAGGCGGTCGTGGCTCCACACTGGATGCCATTCCTGCGGCGCTGGCACTCACTTTCACGTTAAACAGCACATATGCACCCCATAAAGTGCGTAGACGGATGACCACCGCGGTAACTCAGCGGGCAGAGCACCGTACGAGTTATACGAGGGTCGCCGTTTCTGTCCCTGTCAGCAGCAAGTTAGAATCTTTTCGTCCACTTTTCTTTCTTTACACTAACTTTCAAATTCCTAATAATACCATTCCCATACTTGTCTTAGCATCATTGTTTGCTATGCAGATGAGTGGGTCAGGCTTCCCGGCAATGCGCTCAATTTAGTAACGTAACAATCAGAGCAGCTCCTGGTGAAATATTACGTAAGCACCCATACAATTTATCTCGTTTATTTGTTTTTTACTTGCAATTCACTAAACAATTATTAAGCAAAGCGAACACATACAGAATGCATAACAAAATCTACCGTTACAGTAAATGAATAAACAAATCACAGTGTATACATAACGCCGTCGTTATTATGCATCATAATCATCTCACTCAGCGCCCCGCGCGCTTAATCTCTGTTAGGGAAGTAATCTGTAGCGTCATCGTCACCGCTGTCAGCATCACCGGTCATCATTGTGCGCCCGTCGCATGGGTCGAGTAGTGAGCCATACGATTCTGGCTCTCGCCTCAAGTAGTAGTCACAGCAGCTGCAACGCTTCGCGGGTACATCTCTTGAGCCTTTCCGAATAAATGTGAGGACCGAAACAAATGATGTCGACTGCCGTTAAGAGACGATGGATTCGTTAGACGATAACAGAGAGGTCGGTCTGACTTGTGCGTTCTGGTCTGTTACTGCAACTCTGCACAGTGCGTGAGGGACAGTTAAAAACAGAGATGATAATGTTGATGATGACGACTACGACGGTGATGATGATGATGATGATGAGGGGGGGCAGGAATAATAATACATGTTGGGGTTCAACGTCCCCAATTCACGATATGATTATGGGAGACGCCGTAATGGAGGACTCCAAATCTTTTTACCACCTTTGGTTCCGGAACGTGCTCCTAAATCACACGGGCGCGGCAGTATCACCTGGATCAAAAATGAGGCCGCCGCTGCCGAAATTTCATCCAACACCTCCCTAAATACTGATTCCTTTTGTGACCTTCAGGTCAGAGGTCAAGCACCACAACCAGTATAGACCACCATGGCGAGTGCTGAGTACAGGAGGAGGTTATGCATGTACGATAACCACTTCACGTGGTATTGTCCGGTAGTCTCCAGTGTGGTACTCCTTGGAAAGTCTATGTTTTCCCTTGTAGCAAGTAGTTGATGGGGAGGTCTGGTCTGGCACTGTGGACAACAGGCTAGTCTTGTCGAATGGTATAGCAGTGTATCGATTTCTGAGTCTTATAAATGCGCGGCTAAGAATGGGGAAAGAAGACAACCACCACTTTGCAGCACGAAGCAACAAGGAAATCCATACAGATTTCTCAGAAAGAAAGCCTCTCAATGGCCGAAAAGCTGGTGCTGTTCCGGGGCTTCGTGCTAACAACGGGTGGTAGTCTTCTTTCCGATGAATGGATGGATGGATATGGCTGTACCCCTTAGATCGGGCGGTGGCTAGCGCCACCAAGCCGTAATACTTAATGATCCAAAAACTAGATTTACTTTTCCCCTTTAAAAGTTAGGTTGAAGATTCGTACTTTGCAGTGAAGGCTTTAATTTTCGTTCGTGCCTTGACTGTAGCCACCAATCAGATAACCTCCTTCTAGTTAATTCTACCCGCTTAAAGTTTATTTTGCCCTCCCTGTCCCTAAACCCCAATGCTTTGAAAAACTCTGCGCCATCATCCTGAACTATAGGGTGAAGCCCTTTACAGAACATTATCAAGTGTTCGGCAGTTTCTTCTTCCTCTCCCCACGCACTGCATACCGTGTCTACCCCTTCGTATTTGGCCCGATATGTCTTGGTTTGCAATACTCCCGTCCTGGCCTCAAACAGTAGAGAACTACCCCGAGTATTATCATAGATCCTTTCCTTCGCAATATCCTGCTTAAAAAATTTGATAGATCTCTATTGCGGGCTTCTTAATCATGCCAATTCTCCACATATTGGTCTCAGCTTCCTTCACCTTCTTCTTAACCAATAATTCTTTTTGGTTTGGCCCCCTGCTGTTTTCCAAGTATTTAACAGTCAATTTTCTGGTTCGCTTCCTCCATTTTGTATCGACACTCTTCATGTACAAGTAGCTGAATACCTTCCTAGCCCAACGCTCCTCCCCCATTTCTCTCAATCGCTTCTCAAATTTTATCTTGCTGCTAGCTTCCCTGCCCTCAAATGATGTCCATTCTATATCACCTTGTACTCCCTTATTTGGTGTATTCCCGTGAGCTCCTAAAGCAAGCGCACCTATTCCACGTTGCTTAATTTCTAATCTTGCTTGAACTTCTGATCTCATGCACAAGACTGCATTGCTGAACGTCAGACCAGGAACCATGACCTCCATAGTCCATAGTCCTCTCACAGCATCATACCTATTGTGATTCCACAGTGCCCTGTTTTTCATTACCGATGTATTCCTGTTACCTTTAGTCGACACGTATATTTCGTGTTCCCTTAGGTACTCGGCCCCATTGCTTATCCATAGGCCCAGATATTTGTATTTGTCTGTTATCTCTAGCGTGGCCTCCTGTATTCTAAGCTCACTACCTTCGTTGTCGTTGAAAATCATGACTGCTGATTTTTCCTTATTTAATTTGAAATGTAACCTATCTCCCTCATTATACCCCAGATGTCCGCCAATCTCTGCAAATCTTCCTTGTTGTCGGCCATTAGCACTATATCATCTGCGTACATCAATGCTGGTAGTGCCTGTTCAATGAGTTTTCCTTGTTTGACAAAAGAGAGGTTGAAGCCCAGTCCACTTCCCTCTAATTTGGCCTCTAATCTTTGTGGGTACATCATGAATAATAAGGGTGACATGGGACACCCCTACCTATGCCCCCGTCTTACCTCTGCAGGCTTGGATACTTGTTTTTCCCACTTTAAATTACCTTGTTACCTTTATAGATACCCTTTAGAAGATTAGTGACTACATGTTCCGCGCCTAGTGTGTCCAGTATTCCCCACAATTCCTCTTGAATCACGCTATCGTACGCTCCATTGATATCCAAAAATGCTAGCCACAGGGGCCTGTGTTCCTTTTCTGCTATTTCGATGGACCGTGTCAGTGAGAACAGATTGTCTTCCAACCTTCTGTGTTTCCGAAACCCATTCTGCAGTTCCCCCAGCACCCCCTCATCCTCTATCCATGCCTGCAGTCTTTCCATTTCTTAGCCCTTGCGCCACCTTGAGGGTTTTCGCAGAACTCATTTGCAAATGCACGGCTGTTTGTAAGCTTCATTGTCGAAGTGGGCAACAATTTACAACCTGAGTAAGTATAAAAGTGCATCAAGAGAAAAGAATAAAATGTGTTTTTTCTCGATACGATCCCTTTGGTCGTGGCGATGTCCTCCTCTCATTGCATGGCCCGGCTGAGTCCTCCTAGTCGTGGTACGCGCCCCACCAAGGCTGCCAGTTTCCGACACGAAGTTTCATCCTCCTCTTTCTTTTCGCGACTAGAGTGCTTCAAAGCTTGATAATGGTCGCGGCATTGAGCTGTTGCGTCAATAACGCGTGGCCGCTTCGCTCGTGCGGGGATTTACCGTTGCCTGTGACAGCAAGTCAGTGTATTACGTGCTCGAGGGCCGAGTGTTACTGTCTAATTCGCAAAAACAGAAGGTTCGTGCTTATTTTGTTACCCGAAGTTGTGCGCCTCGTCCACGTGGTGGCCTCCACACAATAGCTGGGAGGGACCACGCACACTATAGCATCGAATTATCTTGTCTCGCTCGGCGTTGATTGACGTGAGCTCGTGCTAACGTAGCCATGATTGTTGAGGACGGAAGTTCAAGTATTCAGAAACACGCGAATTGTTTGCTGATCAAGCACTTTTACTCATTTACGGTGCTGGAAAGAGAGAGAGAGAGAGAAAGTTTGGAGGGAAACTTCAAGCAGCTTGCACTCGTGGCGCAAGGCTGGAACGACGTTCCTTGTTTCTCTTTATTTCTTCCCTTTCTCTCTTTCTCTCTCTTTCTATCTCTCTCAGTTTTTTAAGTATTTTGTGTGGGTTCCTTTCTGTTTTTTTTGCTCTGTCTATTCCTTTCTCCCTCTTTTTCGCTTGTTTCGTGTTTTCTGTCATTCATTTCTCTCTTTTTCTGTACTTCATCAATATTTCCTTGTCTTTCGCTATTTCTCTTTTTTTCTGTCTTGCTTTGTGTTTTCTATCTCTTTAATGTTGGTTTCTTTTATCTATTTCTCTCCACGAGTATTTTTTTCCGTCTATCTTTTTTTCTGTTTTCTCCATTTTTTTTATTTATCAGTCTTTCTTTCTTCCTCTCTCTGTACTCGTTCTCTTACCCATCCGACTTATTTCATACTACGCCGGACAACTCGGCGCAGCGGGAGAACGCGCGTTCTGTGCGCAATAGTTCGGGGAGAGAATCACATAAGGAACGCGAGGATGATGAGAGCCGAGTTGCACGTGTTGGCCCAGCTGTGCCAAGTGTTTGGCGACGTGAGATTCTATAGGGTGTAGAGTTCATTCAAGACAATGATAATAGTTTCTTGTCGAATCGAAACAGGAGTTCGTTAAAAAAACAACGGCCTTGCAAGTTGTTGCTTGGTGTCAGGAAATGTAAGATGTTTGACTGCTGATATTTGTTCCTCACGAAAACATTCTAGAAACGCTGTTTCGTTCGAGCTGCCTACTCGTAATTAATAAAATTGATTCTCACCTGACAAAAAGCACTCACCTGGAAATGCAGAACAGTAACTAAATAGACACTGCAATAGATGTGATCGCCATTGTACAATAATTGTCAGACATATTGACAGATTCTGTTTTATATATATATATATATATATATATATATATATATATATATATATATATATATATATATATATATATATATATATATATATATATATATAAAGTGTGTGTGTGTGGGGGGGGGGGGTCACTCACATGCAACACCACACGTATAAATAATGTCCTGATAAAAGCATTTTTCATATGCCGCTTCCGCGATGTAATAATTTAACGTAATATAGTTATGGAAACATAACACCTTAATAATCGGCAACAATTGAAAAGAACGTGATTATCAGCTAGCTGGCGTAGCTGGCCTAAAAAATTCAGTTTCACCGCAAAAGTGTAGCATTGAATGTGATAGCGACAAATTGCAATTTTACACGAACTGAGGCTCGAAGCTAATTCTCTTCGTGTCCGACATCGTGTAACTCTGCAAAACGTTGGTGTGAGAGAATACGACCGCTTCGGAGAAATACTCGTTTTGCACAGTCTCGAGTCACGCTTAGAACGGAACACGTACTAGCCGTGCGCAAATGGCTTTCAAAATATCGCGTATCCCAGCAACCGCGGCCCGTCACACGACGAAGCTTGCAAACAGTTACGTCATCGCCGCAAAGCCTTCGTTTTCTTCCCTTTTGGCTCGCGCGAAATTTGTTTTGACGCACCAGAGAAATGTGCCATGTGAGCGTGTGAGCAGTCTTTCCACGCTCGACCCTCGCAGTCGTGGCTGTCTTAGGGTAAAAGTTCAAAGTTTCTGCTCGAGTGCCTTCTCCCACTTCGCGCTCCCTTCAGTGTTTTGTAGTGCTCTTTCAAGACGGACAGGGAGTTTCCTCTCTGCTTTGATGACAGGTCTCCTGAGGGGGGTTATATTACCGTATGCATTCTCTTTCCAATTGGAGATGAGCCCGATGGCTTCACCTCTATTTCAGCCGCGTTTGTCACGCCCACTCGCGTGTATCTGCCCGCGGTAGAATGTGCGATGCACGGAGGAACGTTGTCAAGTTGGGACATGATGACAACGGCAGCACCCGGCGAGAGTGTCCATATAATTACTGTCGCAAACTCAAAAGTGCGCCCACGTGAATCCAGGGTCATACACTGTTTGATTCCCGGCTTACTTTTCGCAAACAAAGAGAAAGTAACGCTAAGTAACCATGCACTGCAGTTTCACAATAGAATCATCATAGAAATAAAATTTCGTTATTCCAGCTTGCCAAACCTTCGGCATTTTGCAATGTAAAATCTAGTCCAAATTCACAGGCGTCCGCAGAAAGCCACGGCTGTTGCCGATACGCTGCGACCCACCGATGTTAACACGATGCTAGCGACTAGCCTTGTGAAGCGTCAGCAGTCGTTGTTTAGTGCGTCTAAGAGCTTGTACCATTTCCTGTATGTATAGTTTGGTCTATCCTGTAGGCGTTATTTGTCCTACAGCACTCAGAAAAGTGATAATGCCGACTGTGATTGGGCTCAAATAAAGCTTCTTGAAATAAAATACAAATTGAAGTAAGCATTCATATATCTTTCCTACAGTAGCGTATGAAGGAAAGAAGTGTAAGCTTAAGGGTTCGTTTTCTTTGCTAACACAATATATTTGAGAAGTAACAGACAATGATTCCCCGGAGAATTATAGATGTTACAAATATCGATGTGAATAAATAAATGTGGATAAAGGATAACTTGCCACCGGCACGATCCGAACCTGACCACGTTTAAATCTTGTATACCCTATAAAGTGGACGCAGGAATGACCGCCACCGTAGCTCAATGGTGGAGCCTCGAAATGCGTTATTCGAAGCTCGCAGGATCAGATCCTGCCACTTACCTTTTTCTCCACTTTTCTTTCTTGACATTGGCTTTACAATTACATTTAATAACATCCCTTATACTTTGCTTGCCACGATTGTCAGTTCTTATTGAATTTGTGTTATCTTAGCGTATGTAAACCACAAGAATGACGGCAATCTTTGTGTTCTTGTTTGCAGCATCCCTCTTTGATACGGACTGCCACTTCGCCAAGATCGTGGATATCTGCTGCTGGACACAGAAAGAACTGTTCGTAACAGTGCTATACTTGATTATTGATCCCTTGCACGACTTCACATCCATGCTGAACCAGCTGATGGTTTTTCACGTGTGTTCGCATGTGCTTGATAAAGAGACGAGCCATTATTTTTAAAACGTAGCCATGTGCATCGTCGCAATTACAGTAGATCACGTTTACTTCGACGTCTTGGGCCGCAAGTGCTATCATACATTGCTGCGGTGCTCTTTCATTTTCCCTGTCACAAGTCCTACGGAGGTTCACGTTAAAACCCGTGTTTTTTTGTGTGTGGAAGAGGGGGAATAATATGAATAGATGGTCTATTGAAATCACGTATTCAAATGTCGTAAGCCATTCGTTTGTTTGTGTTCAGTTTTCAACACTGTGGAGGCAAAATGGGTGCGTCTATAGCAACGACGGACGTGTTATCCTTTTCTCCGATAGGTCGTGAAGGCCACAAAACACAAGCTTTTTTTGGTGATGCCCTTCGCAGCGTTCAGTTTCAAGGGTCATTTTAATGAAACTCCACTTGCTTACTTTATTTTTGAATTTAGCTAAATTATTTTGATTTCTGCTTTTGTGTACGCATAAAAGACTGATGCATCAAAATGCGACTAGAAAGTTAAATGAATTTACAGTCGCCTTTGCGAAACGTAAAGATAAAAAAAATTGGCAGATCTCACGTACAGTGAGAATCAATTATATGCGAAGCACGAAGAAGAAAGGTTGACATGCCACTTTAAATTCAGCTCAACGTTACAAGGTAGAAGTAAACGATGCCGCACATGACTTCCGTGTCATGATTATCGTGTTTAGATGTGTTGTTTACCTTCATCATCTATTCAACGTCACGTGATAACAAAGTTTGCATATGCGGAGCTAGACAAACGGTTGCGAGCAAGCTATTAACGTAGTATGTTGTCATGTTCTTTCATGACACGCGTGTAAGATTTGTTATGTTTGCACCAGTCATAAATTTCGTCATTCATTGACGTCACGTAACACCAAATTTGGTATATGTGGAGCTAGTAAAACGGCCGCGAGCGCATCATGTAAAAGCCAATATACTACAATGTAGCGTTGACGTGCGCGCACGCTGGGCACAGCGACGCTACGTTGGCAAAACGCGAGAACTCTACAGTCTGACCGACGCCAGGAGCGACCGACGCGACTAGCGTCCGCCGGCGCGGCCCGACGGCAACCGGCTCGAAATTCGCGCCGATGCGTTACCCAGACAACGCTGCGTCTCCCTCTTTTCGTGATGGAGGGACGCCGGACGCGCTGTAACGCGCATGCGTCAAAGCAACGCAGCGTGGCGCACGCCTTCGAGTATATGGCAAAAGCGGTGCCTGGTGTCGCAACGCCAGCGTGAGGCGACGAAACGAACGCTGTCGAGCACGCGCACCGCCTCACGTCAAAATGTATTGGCGCCTTGACTGTGGCATGTAGTTATGTTCTCACATGACACGCATCTCATGATTATCATGTTTGCACCACTCACGTACCTTCGTCATCCATGGACGTCATGTTATACCAAATTTGGTATATAGGAAGCTAGCGAAACGGCCGCGAGCGCATCATGAGTGTGGCATGTAGTCATGTTGTTACAAGACACGCATCTCGTGATTATCATGTTTGAATGTGTCATTTACCTATGTAGTCCATTCGCGTCACATAATACCGAGTTTGTACATGTGAAGCTAGTGAAATGGCCGTGAGTGCATCATGAGCGTAGCATGTAGTCATGTTGTTACATGATAGGCATCTCATGTTTATCATATTTGCACCAGTCACATACTTTCTTTATTATCACGTCCCGTAAGAGCGAATTTCGTATAAGTGAAGCTAGCGAAACAGCCGCCAGCGCATCATGAGCGTGGCATGTAGTCATGTTGTTACATGGCACGAAATGTAAATTATGACATTTATGACGTACATATCATGACTTTCATGTTATGACTAGTCAAATATGTTCTTCACACAGTCATGTTAATGCCATACCAGGTTTGGTATCGCGTTACCATTATCGAAACGGCCAGGAGAGCTAAAAGTCGTAAGCGGCTAGATAAATAGATGCGCTCAAAATCACCGAACTTGGCTAAGAAATGCTTCGCATTTAAAATTGCAACATCTGCCAATAAAGGGAACCATGTGAAGCAGCGCATGGGTAGACTTAACGTTTCGGTCATCACTGGCGCCTTGCCCGATGTTAACGCGTCCTTGAAAGTAGAGTACACCACGAATATCCTGCAGTTTCTCTCGCTGTTACTCGTCCCGAACTTTTGTTGGAGCACGCCACGCGGGTTCATTTCCTCACCACGCAGGAGCACGAGGGTTCATCGTGCGTCCGCCGAATATCGTTTCTCGACGCCATCACGTGATGGCTGGGAGAATGTAAGGGTGAGGGGCCACAGCGTCTTACCCAGCTCCTTACACAGGCGAGAACGCGCTAGCGCGTGCCAGCACGTTCCAGCTGATATACAACGCGTTGGTTCATCGCGCGTCTGCTGAATCTCGTTCCCTGAAGCCATTCCACTATTGCTGAGAAAGTGTGATGGGGAGCGGCCACAGCGTATTACCCAGCTCCTTACACAGGTAAGAACGCGCTAGCGCGTGAGCGTGTTCTGGCGCAGCTTGGGCCAGCTGTTGCGCATGCGCAGTAAAAATGGTCACGCACACGAGAAGGAACTCGACCACAAGCTGCTTCGCATCTAAAATGGAGAGAATCAGTTTTATTCGTACGCCTGTGTTTCACTCGAGGTGATGCAGTCGTTTAACATTAGAAGAAGAATCTTGCTGCTCCCGTGAAATAAAGCGAGACGCGCGGTATGGTGCTGTGCCTATTAATACTTAGCTCAATCACAATATAATGTCGGCAGCAGGAATCGCTTTAGCAGAATATTTGCTTAGACACCACAACAGCCTTCTGTTTCAATTTTTGTTCATATTTGTTTTTGTTAAGTGGCATAAAAAACATACACCGCGCTTATCCGTAAGCTAGCCTGTCGCAGCATTTCGAGAAGCTTTACGTGGCAGTTTAACTCCCATAGGTTCGTTTATTAGAAAGAATTAACTGCCACTATTTTAATGCCCGTTTACGACGCAAAAACGTATCCATAGAAAAGCATATCGCGAGAATTCGAGTCAGTAATGACTGCTACATTTTTAACGTATACGATACGCACAAGCACGGTCACTGGCATTGCTTCTAACGTGCGTGATTTGCTTCTTGGCGATCTAGCGTTATGAAAACAATGTTAAGAAGTCTGTATTTACATAAACTGGTTCACTATAATTCCTGCATTCACCAATCGTGGGCTCAGTGCAGTCTCATGAAGCACCCAATAAGCAACTTGCCTTCAGATACCGTATTTACTTGTCTACCACCAGCACTCGCTAGCACATGCTAGCGTCGACTGGTGTTATGGCTGTGTTATGACTACTCCTGTTGACTATCGCTATTAAATGTTGTCCAAGGGTATCTAAACAATTCTCATTGTGGTTTGTCTGCTGTTAATACGCCGAAACACTCTTAATCCATCTCGTTCCGGCGAGTGAGCTGTGCGCGAATAAACAATTATCCCTCTTCTCTTTTTCGGTACTTTCAGGGGCGGCACTTCCGACGTGGGGAAACAGCAGCAACGCACTCAAAGTAAGCCGCCACACATTTTGTTTTTCTTTTCTTCTTCTTTTCTTTTCGAGTTGCAGTATTTATCCCGGCGTTTGTGATCAACACTTTTTTTTTTGTCGTGCATGCATCTTTTTGCTTGTCAGATCAAACAATTCGGGAAGTGTGCAAACAATGTGTGCCGACGTTTTTTTTTTTTCGACGCAGCCACAGCACACGCCTCATTTCTTCGTGTACAGATTCGGCAGCCCTGTTTTTTTTTATGATAAGGTATTCTCGTCAAGAACAATAAAAAATCTTGTTTAACCCCTAGGTCAAGAATAAGGAAGTGGTGAAAACACAGTGCGAACTGTACTGTGCGCGTAAAAGTCGCACCTGAGAGCACCTTTTGGGGCCTCGCCTCGCCTCCGTCTAAAGTTGTCACGGAGTGTTTCATGGTCGATCATGACGGGCATATGCCACAATAAGTGAATACCACTGCTCGACATCAATCTGCTGAGAATGACGAAAAATGGCCGATCATGTTAGCGAAGCAAAAAAAAGTCTTCGTTACATGCAGTTTAAACCGGGCATGTAGGCGAGAAAAAACAGATCCACGATGTGAATGATTATTAAGGAGCAGACTCGGCCAACAGCGAGCGCTTTATATAGAAGATTTTCTCATGGCTTCCGAAATATGTATGGCGCGGCGGGTTCTTTCTCTCGGGCCGTCCCAACCGCAAGAAGACAGCGTGTTTCCAGAAACGGGCATGGCCCGCTTTTTTCTCCGCACCACGGTGCTCCTTCATATGATCGAAATAGAAGCCAAATTAGAAGCGGCTTCAGGGACTGGGCTTCAGCCTCTCTTTTGCCAAGAAAGGGAAACAGTCATTGCCAGCATTGATGTATGCAGATGATATAGTATTAATAGCCGACAACAGGGAAGATCTGCAGGAATTGATAGACATCTGCGGTAATGAGGGAGATAGGTTAAATTTGAAGTTCCTTGGGGGAAAATTGGCAATCATGGTATTTAATCATAACGAAAGCAGTGAACATAAGATACAGGAAGTCACGCTAGAAATAGTGGATACAAACAAATATTTGGGCGTATGGATAAACAACAAGGCTGAGTACCTAAGGAAGCAAGAAAGATACGTAATGAGTAAGGGTAACAAGAATGTAGCTGCTATGAAAAATAGGGCATGCACTGTTGAACTACAATAGGTGTGACGTTGTGAGAGGGCTGTGTAATAGTTCTGGTTTTGACATTGGATGATGCGGTCTTGTGCATGATATCACAGATTCATGAAGATTGATAATTAAACAACGTGGCATAGGTAGAATTGTTTTGGGAGCACCCTGTACCCCCCAATCAGGGCGTACATGGTGACATGGGATCGACATCGTTCGAGTGCAGGGAAGCTAGCAGCAAGATAGATTTTAAGGAGCGATTGAGAAAAATGGGAGAAGAGCGTTGGGATAGGAAAGTTTTCAGCTACTTGTACATGAAGAATGTTGATATGATTGCGTTATATAATAACAGAAAGATAATATAGTACGCCGGTTTTCATGTTGAATAAAACAGACACGGAAGAAAGGGAGGTCAAAACACCACAAACGCCGACTAACAATTGTCCTGATTGTCAAATGTGCACAGCAGTGAAAAAGAAGGTAAGAATGGAGAAGTAGAGGCACGGCCAGTGTTTTCATGTGCAGCTGTAGTTCACGTTTTGCCGCTACTCTCTACTTTGGTCCGTTGTAAATAAGAATATGTAGTGTGTTTACTTAACTCTTGCTTGGCATATTGCATGTCCTGTCTTTTTCCGGCGGTCTTTTGTTTTTGCACTACCGTTCTGGGCTTTAGCCACAGGAGTTTTTATGAGGTGTAATGTCGTACACGAGATGACGGAAAAACAGTATGATAAAACGGATTATTGATTTTTTCGGCTCACAATATTTGTTTCCATTATTATGACCCGCTAATTGAATGAGTTGTATTTTTAAAAACTAGCATTATTTTCATAATTTACAGCATACAAATTAGTTTGATCGTCACAAAATTTTGATTGATTGATTCGTGGGGTTTAACGTCCCAAAACCACCATATGATTATGAGAGACGCCGTAGTGGAGGGCTCCAGAAATTTTTGACCACCTGGGGTTCTTTAACGTGCACCCAAATCTGAGCACACGGGCCTACAACATTTCCGCCTCCATCGGAAATGCAGCCGCCGCAGCCGGGATTTGATCCCGCGACCTGCGGATCAGCAGCCGAGTACCACCGCGGCGGGGCACACAATTTTTTTTTTTTCAGAACCACTGCACCACCAGTTCATGTCCTATCCCGCAGTGCGTGTAATGGCAGGTCTGTGAAAAAACAAAAAGACGAGCCGCCGTCCCCGTGGCAAGGCCCACAGTCGACTTTATCTTTATTCCCACACCCTCATCTACTTTACCCCTTACGGCGATATCGCCGCTCCTCGTCTTCTACACAATTATCAACAAAGTTGAGTTGAATTGATAGAACTTTATTTGTCCAACGGTTGTTGCAGCGTCCGGGGCTAGGCTTTCAAGGAAAGATCATTCGAGGAACTTCTTCCGAGGTCCTCGGCGATGGTCCTGACCCACTAGACAGCCCACACCTGGTCTTCCAGGGCCTGGCTGAGGAAGGTCATTTAATTGCCGTCCTCCTCTTTCGTGGCCTATCTTCGTTTCTCGCGCATTGCCAAAGTACACGTGCCATATCGTCCCATTCGTACTCATACCGTGCCGCGGAATAACGAATACTATTTCGTGTTGGTCCTCCCTGACTGGCCATTTCCGAATACGTCAGGGCCACGCATATGGGCCGCGCCGCATGAGCGAAGCGGGACGTCACTAAGCAAATAGAATTGTGTTGTGTATTCAGCATTACGGTATGGACTATTTTACCTAAGACGTATGGGCGCCACCATCCTGGGCTGTTGAGTACATGTTTTCTTGCGACGTGAGTTGACAAGGCCACGAAAGAACGCGCGCAACTACTCATTACTGAGTCTGCCATAACATTGTCCGTTTAGTTGTTACAGATACAAAATGCAATGCTTAACAGGCCAGCATGGTGAAAGTGAAACCACTCCGTAAACGACCGGTTATGTGTGCTCGCACAGCACTTAGCGGTGGTGGTGTATGTACGGCGTGGTGTCACGCATGCGCAAAACCACCAGTGCGTGTCCACACAGCGCCGCCCCCAAGCATTAGATTTCATCGTCATTATTGTGAAATAGTATGGGATTTGGTTTAACGTGCAAAATTCACAATTTTATTACGAGGGCCGCGGTAGTGTAGTGCTCCGGAAGATACGACCCCCTGGTGTTCTTTGTGTTCATTCACGTGCGTGTACACCAGGCAGCGCACAAGTCTCTTGCACTTTGCTTCCACCGAAATGTGATACCACGGCCGTTGTCATACTCAACGCCATCGATCGGGTCCACAACCACTGCGTTATCGCGGGTGACACCACAAAACCGCAATGTTCTCCATGCAGTTTCCTCCGAGGACGGCTACAACGTTTGGAGCCTGGACGAAGAAGGCACTCTTGTCTCTTGGGCTGTGGCTGCGGTCAGGAGCGAGCCCGAGGGATCGCTCTCTGACTTGGGACTCGCACCCGGGGCCACGCTCAGACTCGTGCGTGCGGCGGTGTTCCGGGTGCCGAATTTCCTGCCACCGTGAGTGTCCCACATCTATACACTATGACGTTGTCACGTTCGCACATCGCTATTGCTTTTACATGCAGGGTCTTTCACGTAACTATAGAACCAAATATTTACAAAAAAAAATGTGGTGGGCGAGAATCAACGAGTGCCAAATGAAACCACTGACATACGGTTTTTGTCGTCGTCTGGTGCTCGTTGGGGTATTCTTAAATTGCGTTTATTTGTTTGATTACCTCAAATCATTTATGCAAAAAAATGTTATTTTCCTTGGTCCAAGCGCGTTTCTTTACATTTTGGAGGTCATTTACAAATTACATATTCATTTTTTGCAGCAACGTTCACGCTGCACGGTGATTTTATTCAGCATTTAAAACCCCTAGAAATATGAAAGGACACCACGTGATCGCATTCGTACGCTGTCTAACTGATGTGATATCAAACGAGTTTTGTTTCACGATAACTGACAATAGTTTTGATTTGATTGATATGTGCGGTTTAACGTCCCGAAACCACCATATGATTATGAGAGACGCCGTAGTCGAGGGCTCCGGAAATTTCGACCACCTGGGGTTCTTGAACGTGCGCCCAAATCTGAGCACACGGGACTACAACATTTCTGCCTCCATCAGAAAACTGACAATAGTTAATGTGTCAATGAGGTTCAATATACAAGACACTTCAACGAGTGCTGCATGACGGAAAACCATATGTCGTTGGTTTTTTAAGCAGTTAGGTTACTTTCTTTAAATATTTTGTTCTAGTTACCTGAAACGTTCTGTATATGTTGTTGTTCGGAAACTGCTTTATTCGAAGTATGTTTTTTTTCCTGCTTTGAATATGTGTTGGTTTCGTGACATGAAACCTCAAAATTATTATTATGTTCGGGCTTCACAGCTGATTGGAATGACGTTACACTGACGTAGTTACCAGCGTACGACGTCAGCGCTCTGTGCATTATAACGTCCGAACGGAATCGGGCCGGAGGGGTGCTCCTGGAGGACCAACTTTATTGAGCGTACGCTTGTGCGCGAATGTTGATTGTCGACACGGACCGACTGAAAGTCATTTGCTTCTTTTCATCACGAAAACTGAAGGCGTAGATTCTGTTGTTTTTTTCTGTTTGTTCGGGAATATGAGGGGCACATTAAGTGGGACATCATAAAGATGTGACTTGTAATCAATAGTTAGAACTTTTTTTATGCGAGGTCCATTCCAGCAGCACAATACACGTCCCAAAGTAAGATCCAAATTTTAGTACAAACGGCCAAATGACACCAATTTTTTAGGTGATTCGTAAGTAATTAAGTTATAGAGTTTTTCAATAACGCTTTTAGTATCATTTTTTACGTGGCCTTCTTTGCACTTGCACATACTATGTATCCACATTCATTCGCAAGCACACTTTTGTCAGGGCACTCAAACCAGGTTGGCCTATCACCAGTACTTAAAAAATGTGACAATTAGGTCCCCCCCCCCCTTTTTTTTTCTTCGCATGTGTACGTATGTGACAGCTGTAAGAATCTGAACCGCTGCGAATTCTAATAATGACTGTTTAACGTCCCAAAAGCACGATATGGTTATGAGCTAAAGACGGCGTACTGTATGGTTCCGGAAATTCAAACCAGTAGTTGCTATATAAATCCAAGTACGCGCATGCGCCAACGAAACAGTTACAAACTCGCCCAAGCCTATCCATCACAGCGAAGCAGACGTTCGGGTCCTCGTTCTCTGTATATCGACGTTTAATACAGGGAAACTAGTATTGATGGAAAAATAAACTAGATATAGCTGAAAAAAAAGGCTAATGATGCGCCATCTACTCTGCCTGGATGAACTTTGAAAGACTTTCTCGGCAAAGCCAGGGCAAAAAAAAAAAAGGGGGGGGGGGGGAGGCACCAAGGCAGAAATTAGCATCTTCGTTCGCCATGCGTGGCGCTTTGATTTAGGAACGCTCTCCTTTCGTTCATTCGTCGTGGCCGGCGACTTCGAGAAAAAGTCACGTTCCCCGAACGCGAGCTCATTACGGGCCGCGAGCGCACGCAAATTGGGCGATTGGACGTGCACGAGCACACACGCTGCCCTGCGCACCCAGCCGGCTGACTCGTTCGCTTCGAGGCCGTCGGGCCACCTGGGCTCGGATCACTCGCGAATGTTTAACGCAGAGACCCGTTTCCCATACGCACCGCCCGCTGAATTCGTGCATGCCTTGTTTCAGTGCGGCCAGCTGACTGCCAAAGTCGAGGACGCACCGCTTCCATCTCAATCGCGCAGCCGTGGCTCGGAAGATCGCGTCGCGGGCCTGTCGTGCACGCACGACGTGTCTTTCGGGTCTCGCATTGTGTGTGCGCGCACATACGTTAACCGGATCTGAACGGGGTGAGCGAAGCGAGCTTCTTGTTTGCCACGCAGGTCGTACGAGGAGGCACGCGACGGCCTGAGGACCTTCGGAGCGGCTCAGCTGAGCGCCACGCGCGTTCTGGTTACCACGGACATTGTGAGTCGCCGGCTCGATCGACTTGCTCGTTGCTGACCTTCGCGTGGCGTGCCTGATGGTTCATACCGAAGGACGACGCGATGGCGTATGAGGAGAGTGGCGCGTGCAGTTGGAAGGTTGTGGAGAGACGCATATGGCAGGTTGATTGCAGTGACTATCGTCGCCCTTGTAGGCATTCGAACAAGGTTAGATGAGGTTAGATGTCAATGACTACCTACAGGGGAACTCGGTTACTGCGAACCCGCGTAGAGCGAACAATTCTCTATAGTGAACACGGGAATTCGAATGACTGATACATATATATTGCAAGATAGCAGTCACTATATATTTGGCATGGATATATGGTATATTGAACTTCGGCTGTCCGTTCCCAACGGCCTTCAGATCTCGAAGCCGCCTGGCTTGAAGACGCACTTTTTGTGGTGGTGCCACCGATATTGTCTTCGCTGAACGAGATGACCCAAAGCACAGTGAACGGATTTGTTGCTTCCGTATTATATTTATGTGAGGGTAAGAAGTTCGCCTATGACAAAATCAACGCACCTGTTCAAAATATGTTCGCTCTACATGTGCATGGAAACGGCAAATTAGTACTAGATGTGCGAACAATTGATTTTGGAACCGAACCAAATACGAATCGAATAGCGACGACACCGAATCGAATACGAATAGTCATCGAATACTGTTCGAATTGTTTTCGTATTTTAAGAGACCATTTTCAAAACAGCCCCACAATGTCTCAGCATTTTATTTGAAATAACTATACACCAACATTCACCGAAGAACATTACGGTTACTTTGAATCGACTCAATATACCACAATTACCAAAATTGGATAAGTTCAGATACAGCGTGGATCCGAGTGTTCATAATATTTTGTAACTGTGGGTTAAAATACAGCAGTCGCTACATTAATGAATGTGAGACTTCGTCACCGAACTTTTGAAGGCAGGAACTAAATAATGCGATGCAGCATAGTAGTAAAGCAAACAAACGCGGACGTTTCAGAAGAAATGCCTTCGTCCGGGAATCAGTACTGCGTCGCTGGATGGTTGGGATGCACCCAGATTAATTTAGGAAAAATTACCTGTTCCAATGTTTTCTTTATTTCGGGGTTCCGCAGTCGGTGCTGATTATTCGAAAAGTTTTCGGTGTTTCGAATATACACTATTTGATTCGTTATTCGAATTTTTTTTTAATATTCGCACACTTCTTACAAACTACCTAATATACTGAACAACTTTTTTTTTTTTGAGCATGCAGGCTAAAGTTTATATGCTCCAATAGGAATTGTTTGAAAATACTAGGGGTCATTCATTTATAGTCGACGCGCCTTCGCGGCAACGTCGCTGGTTGATGTGCGAATGAGTGTTCACTTCGCGGCAGCATCACTACGCAAATAAAATGTGGTGTACCAGCGCAGCTATGCGTCCAGAGCGTATAGTGTTAACTACTATGTGCACTCATGCGCTCTTCCTATTAAGATTTGTGTCGACCACGCTGTGATGCGTTATACGCTTAACGGCTTTCTACCGCTATACGCAATGCCCAGAGCTAGATTCACGGACGTTTGCGAGCCACTTGCAAAATCTGATAGCTTTATTAAAAGGCATAGAATTTAGATAGTGTATAAAATTTACTAACTTGATACTCTACGGCAAGGGTATTGGGGAATTAAATACAGGAACATAGAGAGATGGACAAAAGAAAGATGAACAAATTGTTAAAATAGAATTAAAAGACCAGACTGCATTTCTCGGCTCTTGGGCAGGGACGTGCGCTGACGAAGTTTCTCATTGTGTGCATTCAAGGCAAAACTAGTGTTTCTCGAAGTGACCGACACTATCTTAATGTGTGAATATCGTGCTCCTCCGTTGCGTGAGACAGGCTAAAGGGCCCGAAATAAATAGAAATGATAAAGTTCTTTGTGTTATCGAAAGCGTGCAATTTTCATAGGACGCACCGTACGCTCATCGACACACTCTCGACATTCTAACGAAATATGCTCCACACTCTCCATGGAGCCGCAGTCGTTGCAGTGTGGACTTGCCACTTGACCGAAGCGGTACCGTAGGTTTTTTCCATAGGCAGTGTTTGGATGAAGACGATGGTACAGAGTTCCCCCGTTCAGAATTCCTTGACGTAGTCAAAAGCTCGATTAAAAAAAACCTATTTCATTAAAGTTGTCTTATTCGTTCTGGTTTTGCAGCGAAGTACGCATAGATTACAAGTACACAATTGTGGCTTGTTTCGATATCCTGAAGAGCACAACAGCAAAACATCAGGTCGCCGTCACACGTGGAATAGTCACGTGACCTGCATCACATACATATGACGTCATTAAAAAGCAGCACATCACTGTCGACTCTGGCTCTGGCAGAAGCCATGTTGATAACATAGCGAGAGCCGTGAAGTGGCACAGCGTAGGTCACTGCCATCAAAGGGACGCTTTTGCTGAGGCCAGAGGACTATTCTCCACGTGATGGTGACTAGAAGCTTTGCTATTGCGCTTCTTAGGACATAGAAACACGTCATGGTGCAATGTAGATATGTTTACTATTCTTATTATTGTTGTTTATAACCATATTAAAAGTGATGACGTCATACTTCTTCGTCGCGTTTTTATTTTTTTTCTCTTTCGACTGTACTTTACGGCACAGGGAGTGGTCGTTCACGTGGACTTGTACAAGGCGAGGACGTCACCGAAGGTGTTTAAGCCAAAGCAGCATCGTAAGTAATAAACAGAGCTGCTGGCGTGGTTGGCCTTTCGACTTGCGGGGCAGTGTACCAGTGTTTGAGAACTTGTTGGCCTGGTTGGTGAGATACTAAATGCATAGTTTGCCGCTACGAAACGCTACGCAAAAGTAGGAGACTAGGACGACGACACGGGCAGAATTTTGAACTACATTGGTTTGTGTCCGTACTCTAGGTCGGAGAGCTCACGAGTCGACTAACTTATACTCAGATCGAGCCGTGAGTCTGCGCGTGAGTGATTGATATTTCGGTGAGTTTCAGTCCGAGTGAGTACGGTTGAAGAAACTTTTCGTGAGTTTGAGCCGGACTTTTCGTGAGTCGGAGTGAAGGAGCGTTTGTGAACACGGGGGTGAGTCTGTGTGAGTCCAAAGCACAATATATATTTCCTGAGTGAGTCTGAGGGAGTTACACTTATTTTCTTCGACCTATGAGACGGTATACTCATATTCTGCATTACTATTAGCCTTACCTAAATTCACGTTTACATTCACGTCTACTCACACGTCTTCCAAATCAGCATCGTTCGTACAGCCGTTCAATATTCATTGATCAGAGGCGTCAATTACGTGATGGGGTACCTTGACCTCTTCCCACCTACTGTTCCCGGGAAGCTCTTGATAAGTATATCTTATATTGACATCTGTTTCAAGAAAGATGTCCTTGCTTGTTTGCGAGCACTCACCAATCATATTCAAATCTCTTAAACCAAAAGGCGCCTAGTAGAGCTCCGAGTAGGTGACATATTGGGGTTAAAGAGCATTGGTCGAACATTCTAATTCTAGACTGACTCACTCGGACTCACTCAGACTCAGATCGAGCCGTGAGTCTGAATCTGTGGGAGTAATATTTTTCTGCCCTACACTCTAAAGAAATATCGAGTGAAAAGGGTGTCTTTTTGTCCCACAACAATAATCTTCATCAGGCTTGCGTGCGCTTCCTTTCTTGAAAACTCGGCACTGGCCACTTTCCTATCGAGAATGCAATGTAACCCTGATAATGGGCATGTTGACCGTGACCGGAATATACCGGGCGCGGGGTGATAGCGCAAGGATGGAACGCAATATAAATGACGATTATTGTTGTGGTACAAAAAGACACCCTTTTTACTCGCTCTTTTTTTAAGTGTACCATATGTAGGCATACTGCTCTAAGGGGAAGAGGTCTCCCTCGAGCCGCGTTTGTGTGGCTTTTTTTTTTCCTCACCCACCTCCATTTACCATTACGTTGCACATGTGTGTAAGTAGAAAACAATAAATCAAGTGAAATCAAGAGTGTGAGTCCGAGTAAGTCCGGCTCAGGAAAATTTGGCGATACTGTGTCCGAGTGAGTCCAAAGCAGATTATGTACTTCATAAATGAGTCTGAGTGAACTCCACAATTTTTACCGACCTATGGTCAGGATGCAAAAATATATATATAGTAAAAAAACACATGTGCCTAAAGCTGCAAACATAGTCAACAGGGCAATCAATGCTCAATAAATCTAATATCTGAAGCAAACAGTGATAATGACAGTTCGCTAATGCACAAGTCACCCAACTTATGGGTAGATAACGCTTCCAAAGATTCATGAACCTTTTGTTTATTGCTCCTACCATGGATCTTCATGTTGTGAAATCGTGGTTCACACATGCAGGCTTCGCAGTGTGCAAGCAAATGCATGAGTTCGTTTTATTTTTTTTAATTTAGATCAAGTTCTCTGGCTCCTATGTTAACACAGCGTCCTATCTTCGCGACATGTGAACAGAAAGCATGAGCTATAGATTTGAGCGAGAAATCGAACCCCCCCACAGTTTTCCAACGTTGTATGAAAGGCTAAAACTACGAAAACGAACGTTTACAAACTAACTATTCTAACACTGATTTACCCGTACGGTTTGTGACATTACGAATAATTTCACCATACTATATATGTATACTCTAATATTAACCGGTGCATTTGGGTTACCATAACACTGCCCCCTTTTCCCTCCCGTGTGTGCATCCTTTCTCTATCATTTTTCGCTTAAGCACTGGAAATGCATCGATTGATTGATATGTTTCGTTTAACGTCCCAAAACCACCATATGATTATGAGAGTCGCCGTAGTGGAGGGCTCCGGAAATTTCGACCAGCTGGGGTTCTTTAACGTGCACCCAAATCTGAGCACACGGGCCTACAGCATTTGCGCCTCCATCGGAAGGAAACGCATCGGAGTTAACCATGATAGTCGAACTAATCATAACTTTATTGAAACGTGTCACTTGGTAAAAAAGCACAGTTGCTCGTGTCAGAAACATAATGACGCACGAAAACGCAGCGTTTTTTCCGCGGTCAGAAGTTTTCCGTTCAGCGCAGTGATTTCTGTTCCTGCTTTCGTTTTCAGCTTTGGTGGCCCAGGAGTGCTGCATTGCATTGTCGCCGCATCACCGGTCTTTCTTTCTCGTAAGCACACACTCATACTCCCCTCCCCGTCAGGCATATTTTGCATGATGCATATTAAATGTGAAGCGTGTACTGCGAGCACTTTTGGCGTCTATCTATCTATCTATCTATCTATCTATCTATCTATCTATCTATCTATCTATCTATCTATCTATCTATCTATCTATCTATCTATCTATCTATCTATCTATCTATCTATCTATCTATCTGTCTGTCTGTCTGTCTGTCTGTCTGTCTGTCTGTCTGTCTGTCTGTCTGTCTGTCTGTCTGTCTGTCTTGTCTGTCTTGTCTGTCTTGTCTGTCTGTCTGTCTGTCTGTCTGTCTGTCTGTCTGTCTGTCTGTCTGTCTGTCTTGATTGATTGATATGTGGGGTTTAACGTCCCGAAACCACTATATGATTATGAGAGACGCCGTAGTGGAGGGCTCCGGAAATTTAGACCACCTGGGGTTCTTTAACGTGCACCAAAATCTGAGCACACGGGCCTACAACATTTCCGCCTCCATCGGAAATGCAGCCGCCGCAGCCTGTCTGTCTGTCTGTCTGTCTGTCTGTCTGTCTGTCTGTCTGTCTGTCTGTCTGTCTGTCTGTCTGTCTGTCTGTCTGTCTGTCTGTCTGTCCGCTCACGTCTGGGCGCTCTCATGATCACCCCCTTTACTTGGCTTGAACGAAAATGAGCAAGGCACGATAAGATGGTTTGATGAATATGACGCGCTGGTCAAGACATGAATAATGTCGCAATTCCGTCGCGTACGTCACGTTGTCAGACACTTCCCGTTATATAGTGACACATTTCCGCGGGCAGGTATGTGCCACCAGTATGTAGGTATGTTCCACAGGTGATTGACACTTAGCTCCTTGGTAGGTACCTGCAGGAACGGTGAGGACACAAATGGTCTATTTTAACGCGTGAGCGTTAAGAAAAACCCAACATTGGCTGCGCTGACCCGACGAACGCAAAGAGAAAATGTCAGGGTCCCAGCAGAAATCGACTCCAAGCATTCTGCATGGCAATCAAGCGTTCTACCACAATGCCTTGCCAGGTCTCGAAACTGCTTTTTAAATGTACCCTAATATTCGTGAAACGTCAATTGTAGTTGCCAGTGCTGGGCCCCATCCAATTTTATACAAATTACATATGTAGTGCTATGATACAGCCATTATGTTGTGTTAACGTCAATTGTAGTGAGGTGCGAAGCGCAGAAGTTGATTTAGGTAACAGTGTCCAGGGCTACCATCCTCACAAGCACTAGCGCTTCATATCAGCTTATCTCTTCTGGTGCTGCTGATACTCATTTTCATGTTGGCAGCAATGCGCAAGAGCAAACGACTGGCTATAGAAACATCTGCAACTGTTCAACACTTGTCTGCGCGTGCAACATTTGTACATATATTTAGCGTCATTTAATAACATGTCACTCAACAAAAATTACAACACGGTCTCCTTCGCTCTGCATGCTTCGTATAACGTCGATTTCCAAGCTATGTGGGATCTGCCGAATTTTTCACATGATCTGCACCGCAATGCATCTGTAATACACTCTGACTTTCTACCTCCTCCCTCCACCTAATACAGCCGACACTTTCAAGGTCGTCACTGCGCTAGTGTTGAACATTGTACAACTCGTTAAAGCGCAATAAACAAGAGGCCCATTTGACCATTTGTCCCCAGTTATTGTTTTCATATTTATAATGTGTGGTGTTGTAAGAAATTAGATAAAACATTAGTGCTCACTATTCAAAGATATTTTATTTTTTATAACTGGCAATGGCGTATACTGGTATGGTAACATTATATATATATATATATATATATATATATATATATATATATATATATATATATATATATATGAGACATTATACATTATAGACAATCATACATATATTTGCATGTATGACTGCCTCTGTATTGTCACTGACGATCTGGAACAAAGATCTATATCTCTCTTTTTCTCCGTGCACGCGCGCGTGTTCTTCTGCTCTTCAAGAAAAGGCTGCACTATTTTGTTTATCACAGGTGGCCGGCAAGAATGGTGCTCTGAGGCTGCATTTTCTCGAATACGGTAAGCGTTTGTGACCTAAAAGAAATATTCCAGTAAACTTGTAACACTCTGGACCAAAATCGTATAGGCCGTAAGAACAGCGTGCAGGGGTGGCATCAGGATTGTTCCAGGGGGGGGGGGGGGGGGGGGCACCCACAACAGGTGTTCGTTCAGGGTTGCAGGAGGAAGACAGGCAACTCATGCATTCTATTTTGAGTATATATTGTTTGCTCTTGGGGCTAGGAGAGCATAGGAGTGCCGCTAGCACCATCCCTGACAGCGAGGCAGATGTACTTATAGTTGCGCACAAGTCGCGTTATTGTTGTCATTGGAGCAACTTTCCCGGGAGCTAGCACGGGGAGAGGAATCAGGGGCAAAGGAACGCTTGAACCTTTCCAACTGGCATCTGTGTGTGCACGCAGTGGTGCTGTATAGATTACTGCATAGGATTCATGCGAACCCAGCTGCATGCATATTTATTGCTTGATATTACCCCTACTGCAACTATTACAGTATTACGCGTGTTACAATTACAATCTTATATGTCTTTGTATTGTAAATCTCGTATGCTGCTTCGTCGCTGCTGCTGACCTGGTCTCGAGCTGCCTAGAACAGCTTCTAGCTCTTGAGACCTTGCAGAATTTGCTGGTGAAATGAACGTTTCATTGATCGACCTATTTTTATTTATTTATTTGTGTGTTTTTTTACTTATTTATTATTTATTTATTTATTTATCTTCGATTTTCGGCGCTTTCTCTTGTCGACAGAGCAAGCCGTGTGGGAGTGGGAACCATTAGAGAGGACGGAAACTCGAGCGCTCCTCTGGAGCCCTTGCACCCCGACGCAGTTCTACGTCACCACCGCGGCTGGAGAGGTGGCCACCTGGGAATTTTCGACGAGGATCGACGCTCCCACACGGCTCGCCACGTTTTCTCCTTCCAGGTATGCACGGCTGCCCTGTGACCTCTGTGACGTTTTGACTGTGGTTTGGTAATTAGTCAAAAGAGCACTGACGCAAAAAATTTCCGTCTCTTATTTGCTGTTGCAAAAGGGTGACTAACGATGGTATTATCACGGCTGGAAAGCTTCTTTTCTCAAGCACACGACGGTCAATTATTTGGAAAGGGCTTTATTCCACCGAGTGGTCGTTCCGGTTTCACAAAGCACTGGGTGAGACAGGACCCAGAGGGGTTATCGTGTAAACACAAATATTGCCACACATGCTCCTTTCTGTGTTTTACATTGTCAGTCTATCGCACGTGTAGATACTGCTTTGCGCAGTTCGTACCAGTATGTCTGGGAGAAACGCGAACAGCTAAGTTTACTGTCGAGTGAACGTTGCGACCAGCGCTCGAATGTTCAATGCCTCGGGTATAAGTGCCGACGCGACGTGCCTCGTATAAGATAGTCCAAAGCCGACGCTCTGTTCGTCGATATCGGTGTTCAGCGTGACAGTGTGCATCGCTGTAATCTGACTTTCCTTCACCGGCTACAAGTTCAGCCAAATAAAGAGTTTCATCTTGGACAGGTCGACTGCTGCCTTCGTCAACGCCACGACCCCGGGACATCACTGAACACAGGAAGGAGCATGCATATCAATATGCTCTAGACTATATTGCCCGTAGGTATTTCGTAGATGGTGCGTGTGTGTCCCACAAGTAATCCCACAAGTAATCCCACAAGTAATCTCGCCTCCTATCCCACAAGTAATCTATCCATCTATCCATAAACTATCCCACAATTAATCTCGCCTCCAAAACTTTGTGTCAGTACTCCTGGAATAAGAGGGATAGTGCCATCATGCTTCGAGGCTATAGGGCTTTCGGGTTTCCTCTCTACGCAAGGGCACTCCACACGATTGATCCGACACAGCAAATGTGTAGAATACAATTTAATTCGCTTCCAAAGTACCTAAATGTCAATCCTCCCGATCGAGGCTCATCGCTAGCGCGTCCAATACTGACGTATAGTTGTAGTAACGTCACAGAAAATCTGAAAGTGCCCTTTTAGGGAGGACAAAGGTTAATCACAATGCACCCCCCCACCTTTTATTATGTTCATCAATGTGTGGGGCTGACTTGTTGCCCCCGGGCTTCCTTTTAAAGGGAGCGTGCCTGACACGTCGTGCTTCTTTAGTTTTATAGACTTCAACTGTTCTCCTTGATCGCCCGACCCCGTTGCACGGAACACAGTGAGCTACGCGCGTGGCTAAAAAACTTTAGAAAGCTGTTCGTCTAAGCAGACAAATCAAGTGCTACGCAACCCTTAGACCAAGCAGTGATCACTTTTACATTGTGCGAAACTCACGCCAAACAGGACTACTTCGTGTAGAAGATGCGCAGATGCTCCGCTTCTGTAGCTTTCCCTTCGTTTTCCTAGATAAGTTGTCCGTAAGTCTAGGTAATGCCTATCAAGTATACCGCGAGTATACCTAATAAATGTTGGATACCTATTAGATATCCAACAACTTTTCCCAATTATTTCTCTTTTCAGAGTGTCGGCAATGGACGCGGATGGAACGGCTTCGTCGGCGACATCCGAGCATTGCTTGGTAAGATTCTGATCCCTTTTTTCTCGAGAGGCGTAACGAAGCCCATCAATGTGCTTGAAGAGCTTGATTTTAGGCATGCCGTTCAAGAGCGCGGGCGTGATCATAACCATTAGGTAAGGGCGCACTCAATAGAAAAACGATTTCTCGCGCATTAATAAATTACAACTTCACAATACCGAAAATATTCATCTTACCGCGAGCAGACGCTTGTTAAGCTAAACAATACATAAAAATAAAATTGAATTCCCCCAACCAGGCGCAGTGACTTCATAGATCTTGACGGTGTCTACTAGGTCATACATAGTCGCTAGTCAAGAAAAATGTACCGTACTGTGAAGGAAACACATATACACAATATACCAAGTTTCAGAGAAATTCACAAAGCCAATGTGAATGTAAAAATGCGAAAAATAAGGTTTGAAACCCGTGGCGTCACGCCTAGAGGTTTAGGTGCGAAATTTAAGGAAATGTTTATTTTATTTTTTTTCTCTAATATAAAGCACATGACGGGGATTAACAACGTTAACATTCTCAGAGCACAGCTTATGAATATAATTAGATTCATTGTTGCATTTTAGTGTCTCTATTGCACACTTAAGAGGAAAACCTTTTTTTCTTCCCTCGTATTAGCGAATTAGCGCTTCATAACGCCAAAATTCCAACCCTTGCCATGGATAGGCGCCTGGTAACAGGAAATGCGGAACAAGGAGATGGAGTAGGAGATGCCACTTCCAATTTCCCGTATCAAATCGCAGAGACGACATAGATTTTGACGGTGACTACGTAGTTTTTGATTAGTTAAAATGAGGTAAGTTGTCCCCTCGGAGGACTAAAGACTTCACGCACCAAATTTAACCCACGCCATTGTTTTGCCGGCAAGCCACAACTGGGCCCCCGAAAAGTCTGCGAGGGAAGCCCATGTTTAGGGGAGACTATGGCCATGATGCAATCTAGGTAGACGATCACGTGAATCAATGAGAAGCTAGCAATACGCAACTGTGCGGAAAACGAATACAGTGATTATGCCCACAAGCGTGCGCAGAGCTCCCCTTCAGGACAGGTGAATGTAGGGTGCCTTGGTGCTCCCCCCTAACCCCGCTCCATGTTAATATTTGACATTGAGAGTTATTTACCCATACTTTGTCAAAATTATATAGTCAGCACTAGCCATATTAAGCCAAAACTAGATGACATTATTGTGATTATCTTGCGAAAGCTATCCAGTATTAACGTGTGCTAATTAGTGCTTGTAGCAAGCTAGTAACACCGAAGTTTAAGTCGCATGATCATCGAGATTCTCATTAAATTCCGCCTAATGTTTTCCGGATGTCGGTCCATAATTTTGGAAGAATAAAAGCTGCATGTCGTGATACACCGGCCGTCATAAAATGCGCGTGTTAAATGTTTCACAGTTAAAACCAAAGTCATCTTGTGATGTGTGGTGCGCGTTCAAAGTGCGCGCCTTCGAAAAGTGCGCGTCACGGAAAAAAAAAAAACAAAAGGAGAAATACCAGAGTGCACGTGCGGTGCTGCTTAAACAAGAATGACGACGTTAAAGAGCGTCAAGCACGAGGATGCGTGGCAGGACGTGAAGTAAACAAAAGGTAAAACATCCAATGGGCAGCGAACACGGAGATTTCAAGGCCCAATGGCTTGACACCACGAAACAGTAGTATCTCCAATGAGAACGAGACAAGTGGGCCAGAGCTGAAGCAGGAGCCTGGGGAGACCAGAGCAAGGGGAATTCGAGGCAGGCAGTGCAAGCGGAAGGTCGTCACCGGACCGGGCGCTGAAGATGGGCCGTTGGGTTCCGGACCCGAGCCTACAGGACTTCCACCGGCCGGGGCCTCCTGCTGTCGGGTTCCCGCTCCAAAGGACCGTGGCCATCCGGTCCTGAACTCCTTTCCAGAGCCTGCGGACTTCGGTTCCGGCAGGCGAGCTACAGCCGTCGGGCTCCGGGCCCGAGCTGTGCGCCCAGCTGCTTGACTAGGTCGACCCTAGTTCCCGGACGCGTCGCCACCAGCCTGCGTTCTCCCGTCTCCGACGTGTCCACGCTCCTCAAGCCGAAACCATCACGATTTGGTAGGGCTTTTCGACGTGTCGCCAGCAGCCAGCGTTCCCTCGTCCTCGTCCAGCCCACGCACCGACGCAGGAGTCACGGCGTTCCGGTTTCTCATCACCGCCGAAAACCAACTTGTGGGTGAGACTGCACCGATACTCTTGCGCTACTCCCATCACTCAGCCCCTTTCGAACGTTAGGTTTGGTTACTGACTTTGAACGTTCTTGTTGGGTGTTTACAGATGTGTTTCGTCATGTCCAGTCAACTGTTTATTAAGTGTTTTGTTTTGTGAGGAATCTTTGCCTTTTTTACTTTTCAATTAAACTTTTTGTGTGTTTCTTGGAAACCGAACGGCTTTGTCCTTATTAGAAAAACTCTCCGGGGCTCAACCAGGAGAAACAAATCAGCAACAAGAACCCTGCATCACAAATTGGCGTCCGCAGCGACAGGACAAAGTCGTTTGTTTTTCCAGTAGATTTTTTGACGCGGTTAACACGATGACGAACACGTGGGAGTTAATTGAGTTGGCGGATAAAATGGGACTGACGGGAGCGGAGTTTAGAGTATGGTACGAGGAGCGGATGGAGAGGGAGCGTGAGCAACGGGCTGCAGAACGAAAGGCGGCGAAGGAAAAGCTTGAATTGGTGCTTAGAGCTAAGAAGGAGGAGCTAGAGCGCGTAACGCGTGAAAATAAAGTGTTGCTAGAGCGTCAGACACGCATACTGAAGCAGCAGCTCCAATTAGAGAGGGTGGACTTCGAGCGGCGACTCGAGCTTGCGATGGCGAAAAGGGGGCAGCTGGCGATGCAGAAGGTCGAGCAAGCGGTGAATGTTTGCTCCGATAGCAGCGTTTGCTGGAGGGAAGTCGATTCCTGCAAGGTTGGCCTCGAACCTCGCGACAGCCTTACTTCGGAGCGAGAAGCTCAGATAGAGGAAGGCAGAGAGGTGGACAGCCAAGAAGGCAGGAGTCATGAGGAGTTTGTTGAAGCGACGGAAAGCTTCTCTGGCTGGGAACATATTACTTCCGTTAGCTGCTTGGGGACCTCTGAGAGGCCAAGCACCTATGAAGAAGAGCGCCTGGATATGGGCGACCTAGAAGCTGTGGAAAATGTGGTGGAGCAAAGCTTCGATAGCAGGGAACAAAGAAGTTCCATTCAGAATGAGGTGTGTATCAGAACGTCTCAAAGGCCGAGCACATTTCGGGAAGGGGTAGGGCTACCTCTCAATAGCTCCATGGAAGGAGCGCTAGAACGTCATTGGGAAGATGGCAGCGAATGCCATGAAGGCTCTGATATAGTGGCCACTGATTGTTTTGTACCGACAGAGGTAGCAGCAGGCACCACGTCAATGGTCCTAGACCATACGTATATCTCACTCAGAGAGAGAGGGGATTCTAGTTCACAGGATAGCGTAACTGCTATGTGTCCGAGAAAACACGATGGGAGTGCTGAAGCACTCTTCAAAATAAACAGTATCGAATCGGAGGTGGGCTCGATAGTAGGTATGGAGAATGCCAGACAGGGTCTTGAACCTGAGAACGTGATTGGTTTTGAACCTATAATTAAGTCCACTCAAGATGAGCTGTATAATGACCGAGCACAACGGCATCCCTTCTCAAGAATCCAGGAACCTCACACGCTTGTCGGAGCGTTTGGGCTTGCTGAGGGCACCCCGAGCTTGTGTTCATTAGATGGTGAACTAAAAGAAAGCATTTGTGTGAGAGATTGTGGCATTTGGACATTCGTGTCTCAGTGCGTTTCGTGTCGACGCCGACGGCTCGAGACCGCGCCCGGTTCCTCTGTGACCGGTAAGCGTTCATGTGGCCGGCGGGGGCGCAGACACGCGTTTCAGCGAAAGTGCATAAAAGCATGTTTGCCACAGTTACTTTCGAAACGTGCGAGAAGGGCAGTGCGTCTGGTTTGGGACGCGATAACCTGAGTGTAGGGTTAGAAAACCGGTAGCTCTTTCTGGACTTCGACTTTTAGATGCGGACACAAGTAGCTTTGTCCATAGTCGATTTTGTAGTAAAAAGGTTTATTCCGGGTTTCAGAACTTTTAAATGCAATTGGGTGAATCTAAAGTTTAAGTGTGGACATTTGGACGATGTAGCGAACTGTAGCCCGGTGATGTGTTGAACTGCGTGGTGCAAATATGTGGTTTAATTGTGACGTAGTGCAGAACGCGCACTCATCGGCAGTTTTTTTTTCTAAAAAAAAAAACTTGAATAAAAGGGGGGCGTATGTGATGTGTGGTGCGCGTTCAAAGTGCGCGCCTTCGAAAAGTGCGCGTCACGGAAAAAAAAAAAACAAAAGGAGAAATACCAGAGTGCACGTGCGGTGCTGCTTAAACAAGAATGACGACGTTAAAGAGCGTCAAGCACGAGGATGCGTGGCAGGACGTGAAGTAAACAAAAGGTAAAACATCCAATGGGCAGCGAACACGGAGATTTCAAGGCCCAATGGCTTGACACCACGAAACAGTAGTATCTCCAATGAGAACGAGACAAGTGGGCCAGAGCTGAAGCAGGAGCCTGGGGAGACCAGAGCAAGGGGAATTCGAGGCAGGCAGTGCAAGCGGAAGGTCGTCACCGGACCGGGCGCTGAAGATGGGCCGTTGGGTTCCGGACCCGAGCCTACAGGACTTCCACCGGCCGGGGCCTCCTGCTGTCGGGTTCCCGCTCCAAAGGACCGTGGCCATCCGGTCCTGAACTCCTTTCCAGAGCCTGCGGACTTCGGTTCCGGCAGGCGAGCTACAGCCGTCGGGCTCCGGGCCCGAGCTGTGCGCCCAGCTGCTTGACTAGGTCGACCCTAGTTCCCGGACGCGTCGCCACCAGCCTGCGTTCTCCCGTCTCCGACGTGTCCACGCTCCTCAAGCCGAAACCATCACGATTTGGTAGGGCTTTTCGACGTGTCGCCAGCAGCCAGCGTTCCCTCGTCCTCGT